ATTTTATTTTATTATTTATTTTGATTTGCAATGGCGCACGATTAAAAATTTTAAAAATAACTTTTCACGATCAATCGGAATAATTTTGAATTTATTTGTGATAATAAAGTAATTGAAAATTACAACATATTGTTTAGTATTATTTAATAAACATATAATTTAGCTTAACATTATAATTAATAATATTTATGAATAAGCGTGATTATAATATTTTAAGTAACTACATTAAATAATAATTTTAATAATTGAGACATTGGTCACGGGGAACCATAATCACCTAGCATGTCTGATTAAAATATGTAAAATCTTGCGAGTTCATTCCCGAGATACCGGTGATGGTCTGTTGGATAGTATTCATAGCACCGGTAGATATGGACTTTATGTTTGGCTTTCGACCGAATAGGGTAAAGGTTTCTGCGAAATAATAATTCAACAAAATTTATTATAATTGGAATGCCCTAGTTCAAACTATTATTTATTTATTAATTATTTAATGCATTACCGAGGACAGTAGAGTTGGCATCAATACAGGAATACGCTAAATAGTAACTTTTGTAATCAGTGTCCAATAACATTAATTGAATTTCTAAGTTCCCGTGATACAAATTAAAAATATATAATAATAATTAAGTCTAAAATAGATTAGCAGACAATAATTTTTTTTATTTTAACAATGCAATACCTAGAAAATCATCAGGCAACTCGAGGGTCATGTTCAATATCATGGATGATGGATTCATGGGTAAACCTGTCAACCCTAGTTGTATTGGTTGGTTGCTATTACATAAACAGTTTAAAAATAATTATTATTAAAAGTTTTTTACAAACTGTAAATAGCTTTTAGTATTATTATAGATATTATTAAAATAATTTATGTATTATTAAATTGGCCTTGATGAGGATTCTCATTTTTATTTTTTTCTAAACTAATTTAGCCAAGTTATATTTATTGGGTAATTTTATAATTTTAAAATAAATACCTAGACTATTAAAATAGTTTTACAAACTTACTTCATTGTTTGAGCGGTGAATGAGAAATCAAACGTGTTAGTATTTTTCACTGGTGTCAGGGTCATTTGGGGACAGTTATATGTTAGGTTATTATTGGGAGCCATAGCCAGCTCATACCAGAGACCCATGATCTAGTCAAATATTTAATAAGCTATTAATTTGAACTAGTTTTTAAAAATTAAAACTATTACCTTGTTAGTATTTATATTAGCCATTCCGTTAACATTGGGACAGGCAATCAAACTGGTAGTGGAACTCATAACAGGTACCGGAGTGGTAGTGGTAGTGGTAACACGGGCTGTCTGTCCACATCCCAGGGTAGATATTAGTATAGCAATTGTGATATACAGATAATACATTTTTGTTGCAGGTTTAATTAACTAGTATAAAAAACTTTTAGTTAAGCCTTAAGTTTACTTTCAATGTAACGCTATTAACGAAATGATATACAGTATTAATATTTATTTTAAGTAATCAATGCTTTTTATATACAAAAGTAAAAGTTATATTTCATTTGCAAACTGCAATGAATAACAAAAAATTGTAATTAAAAGTGATATTCACTTACAAGTTAGCAAATACTTGCGAAATAAATATTTTCCCATTAGTTTGCTATCATCAGTTAATTTGCTATATCATCATATTTATCATAGGAATTGTTTAAGATGTAATTATACAGACAATGAGTTATAAGACAATTACCATGCACATTTGTAAATATTAAGTTCAGAAAGTGCATTTATTCTTATTTTATGTTTTTTTGTATAATAATTTTTAAAATATATATCATTTTTTATTATTAATACTGTAGGCTACTAAATAAAAGATTTAATATATTTTAGTTAAGAATAATTAATAATTAAAACAAAACTTTGTCAATAATCCATATGTTGCAAAAAATATTTAGCAAGTCTAATCTTGATTAAAATAAGCAGTAATAAAGTATTTAACTTTACTAAAATTACATGTTTGAAATCATTAAAGTAATAAGTGGAAGGTAACTTCAAGAATAATTATAATTAAATATTTTGTCCTTTTAAAGTAAATGCCAAATTATCCCTAGTAAATTAATTACAATACAAATACACTTACAATTTAGTTAATGTATTCGAAGAATTTATTATGATCAGGGTTGCATAATAATAATGATATTGCTTTTAAATCTGATTTCATATAAATATATTTCAGTAACTTGATAAACATTTAATAGAGTATTTAATGTATAGTATAGTATAGTAATATTATACTAGTAACGTAGTATTTTAATTATGATTTTTTTCTAAACATTAATTAAGTTATAAAGTAAACTGTAATTCAAATTTTATTTGGTAAATATGTAACTATAAACTGGTTAAATTCATTTAATATTGGAAATATTTGAATAATTTTTTTGAATAAAATGAATTAAAGCATTAATGTTTAAAAATATTACCGCACAAAAAAATTATTTGCCCTTGTTTAAAATATATGTTTCGATATATTTATTTTAATATCTTAATACACGTCTAATGGATGCGATTGTTAACTATATTTACTCATATAAACTATATTTAATTAATATGAAAATGTATCTAGCAGATATCAAGTGTATAAAATATTGAAAATATTTATTTAAATATAATTTTAACATTATTTTACAGCTTTTTAACTTATTTTTCTATGTAAAATTTTGACTTTAAAAATTACAAATTATTTTAAAATAAATTTATAAATTAGAGTTTTAATGTATTTAATAATTTTATTTATGAATATAGATTTGATTATAATTTTAGTTTATTTATAAACGTCAACGTTACAATGTTAATTTAGGTTAATATGGACAAAATAAACTAATTATGTATATTAACTTAATATTAAAATTTATTAATGTTACTTGCGAGAACAAGCAGTTTAACGTAACAGTAGTCCATTAAAAAGGTAATTATAATTTTTCGCAATAAATAATGCAGCTTATCATAAATTACAGTTTAATAAATTATAACTTATTTCTTTATATTAATTGAATAATACTAAGCAAATATAAATAATAAATTGAATCAATTGACATAAAATGTTTTATGAACAATGCTTATAATCACAAATTAATCAACATAAAACCTTATCATATTTAATGAGATCAAAGTAAATGTCGACAGTTTGTATTGTAAATATATTTATTACAGTATAATTAATTTTAAAATGGTAAAATATCATGTTTGTTTAAGTGATTTTTGTGGGTTGATATTCTTGTTGATTATATCATATCTAGATAATTACTAAAATGTAATACAGTATTATTTAAATTAAATCTTTATTGATTATGAATTTGTTAATTTTTATTTTATAATTATATAAACTGAACTTTAAATTCACTAATTATTTATAAATATAAAAGCAGGCTATAAATATTTATAAACTAATTAATTTGATATTTAATATACATACACTATTATCGACATTATCCATAACAGCACCACCAGCTTTTGAATAGTTAGCAAATATTATTTAAGGGAATTATTTTAATTTAAAAATTGTTATTATTATAATTGTCCAATAGGAAATATCAATAATATATTATTTTAAGTATGTAATAGAATATTTTAACAAATTTTAGGCACAAATTCATATGAAAACTATTACTAAATTTGGACATCAATTGAATGGCAAGAATTGAAAGCATAGTAATGAATGTGAAATCAATTGATAGTAAAAAGTGTTGCAAAAGTATTGATTCGTTACTTGTTTTGGTTTAGAGTTTGCATAACAAATACTAGGAAAACGATTTCACATACATTGATTGCATTACAATTAATATTAAATATAAAATTCGGGACAAATTAATTAGAATCAAGGTAACAATTTAAAAATATTTAATTTACATTTAACCAAATGAGTTACATATTATGAGGGGACAGTTAGGCATGCATTTTTAATGTTAAAATTAAAACAAATTGTATGTCCAATATTATGCTACAAAACTTCTTATAATAATTAGCAATAATTTTTATAATAATTACAGTTTAAATTGTTTGTATTAAAGTTAATAATTATTTTAACATTTAAAGAATTTATTTAAAAGTGATTACATAAAACTTATCCAGTATAAAACAGACAGTAAATTAGTCGTCCAACCAAGTAGTATTTTGTTAAAACCAATATTATAAATTAATTTAAATTTTAGCAGTTTCACTTTTAACTTACTAGAAATATTTACTGGTAGTATTTGAATACTAAAAACTCATTATAAATAATGAGTATTTTTTAATTAATGACAATTTTAACGTTAAAATGTTAATTAATGTTGTTAACATAATAAATTCTTAGCATATCCAGTAAAACAAAAAATTAAATTCTTCGCAATAAATAATGCAACTTATTATATAAATTACAGTTTAATAATAATTGTCAAAAATTTATTTTTATTAATCGAATAATAATATGATATAAAATAAATTAATACAGTTGGCATAAAATAAATTTCCATTTTATGTGGACCACAAATTAATTAACATAAAAGCTTATCATATTAATGAGATCAAAGAAAATGTTAACAGCTTATATTGCAAATATATTAAAAATAATTAATTTTTAAATTGATAAATTATCATGTATGTTTAAGTGACTTTGTTGTTTGGGTGGATATACTTTTCGATAATATTGTAGTGCTGGTGGTGGTGGCCGTACGTTGCCTCCCATACCGCTTATGGTACACTTGCCATACATTATTGTTAAACAATATTTGAAATATAAAAATAAATACACCCTGTTTGTTAATAA